AAGACTAGAAAACCAAAGAGCAAAACAACGTACAAGATGTCCACTACCACAGATCGTTTATTTATATACCAAGTTAAAAAGTGGTGGAGTCACCATCCCTGGAGGTGTTCTGTGTAGATGTGGTGCTTAGGGACATGGTTTAGTGAGTTAAGTGGGGTTGGATTGGACTTGATGATCCTTGAGGTCTTTTCCAACCTTTATGATTCTATGGCGAAACCTTCAGAAGTCAAACATTGACCATCCAGTAAGGGTCTCATGGGGATAAAGCTTTTTAAAGTCAGCAATGCTGCTTGTAGAATGACTGTTCCACTGGAATATAACCATTCAGCAAGAATGCTTCTGATGCCTCTAACAGCACTTCACACCTTATTTTGTCACCAAGTGCTTGCAGCAAAACAGATGTCTAAACAGAAATGCTATTTAATTTTAAAGTGGAATTTTAAAATGGTCTCAGAACAGATAACTGTTCGTTTGGCATTTCAGTTATATCTCAGAGACTTCAGCCTGTTCAATACCATTGGGAAATTTTTTTTATAGTGAGGGATTGAAAAATATGTGAAAGGAGGTCTTTGGAATTTAAATACTTTGTAACTTGAAGGGAATGGTAAATAAACATGACAGCCCTTTAGTATATTCCTCAACTGTTTTGCTTCACCCCAGCATACTAGCCTGAACATTGTTAAACGTAAGTTTCTTTTAGTATGCTGTGCTATGGGCAGGAGCAGTTGAGGTGCAGACAGCTGCTGACTTGGCTCTTGGGACTGCAGCTTCTGGCAGAGACATGGTAGCAAATAGCTAGATGCAGTGACTTGTGCTGCTTAAGCTGTTTTTTTCAGTAAGTTCAGGCCCTTTAAAAGGGTAACTGATCTATATAGATACTGTGTAATTCTGGTATCAGTACTGTAATTGAGAGCAGTTCACTACAAAGTTGATTTTCTTGTTCTGAAACACTTACAGGTGGAGGAGTGTGCTGACTGCACAAAATGTTGCAGAAAGATCACACCAGAGTGTGTTTTCGCCTGTCTTTCGCCTGTATATAAAGAGTGCTAATGGTATATCTAACATTGAAGGCATTATGTTAATCTGTTTGGATCAGAAATTGCCTTTTGAAAGGACGAGCTAGCTAACTTTCCTAAAGCAGTGCTTTAAAAGTGTTTCTCACAGCTTTAAGGTAGACAATTTTGCTTTCACAACCATCTAGATTATGTGCTAAATAATTTTTTTCTTCTATGGGAAAGTATTTTTCAGATCTGTGAAAGCAGACAATTATAAATACTGTGTTAACAGATGATAATTCTCTATAAATGACTGCAGCTTTATTGATGTTGAAGCAGCTTAATAAAAAGCTTCTTATGAAAACGTTAGCTTTTCTGATCTGTAATGCAAGATGGCATAGAGGTCACTACAGTTACTTATTGTGAATAAATCTTTGCTATCTAAAAGGGAAATACATTATTTGTGTGAAAATACAAATAGTTATTCTGGAGATCTAGCTTCATGCTTTTATATACTTAGTTATTCTTGGTACTGATTCAGTGACTATATTTACACTTACGCCAAGTGAGCATGCTGTCTTTAAGGAGCTAGGATCTTACACTAAGAAAGTGGATAGAGGGAAATGTCATATGCTTTATGGCTTCTGAAGAATTTTCGCCTAAAGCTACTCTTACATTCCTTCTGCTGAGGCTTTAAATTGTTGCTGTATATATTTAGATGATAGAACTTAGTAATGTAAAAATATGTAATTTCTTGGGTTTTTTAGAGTGAAAAGCTTCTGTTGTACGATACTGTACAAAGTGAACTAGAAGAGAAGATTAGAAGACTTGAAGAAGACAGGCACAGCATTGACATCACCTCAGGTGGATAGAAGTTCAACATTGTTGGGGTTTTTTTTTTTTTGTTGGGGGTTATATATATATATATTTATTTTTTTTTTTAATAACTTATGATAGCTACTGATTAGTGGACTCTACATATAGTATGTCTGGTGAGTTTCAGGTTATCCAGTAGAATGCAATAATGCAATTTAGCTGTAGACTTTGGGCGGGGGGTTGAATTTAAGCTTAAAACAAACTTTGGTCTATAATTGTCAGCATGCATGTGTATTTTGAGAGTATTAATCTGTGACTACAAAATTGTGTAACACCTTAATTTGTTCAGAAACAGCATCTCACCGGGGAATGTGTTATTTTTCGTTTTTGGACAACGTTTTCTGCTGTAAAAAGAGCTAGATATGTAAATGTTTCTAATTCATAGTGTGTTCTTATTATTCCTTTCAGAATTATGGAATGATGAGCTACAGTCCAGAAAGAAAAGGAAGGATCCATTTAGTCCAGATAAGAAGAAACCTGTTGTTGTATCAGATATCCTTTTACCGAAATCATTATTCTTTCTGATAATGTTCACTGTTTTATGGCTAGTCTTATTGCATGTGTCACTAATAACAAGTTGAAGTGATAATGCATTCTCAAAATTGATTTTTGCATGGTAGATGTTTTTCTAATTCAGATTAGAGAAACCATGTTGACACATCCCATTATGAAAATTGAGATTCTCTTATCTAACTACTGGTTTCATATACAGAATATTTCTAAAAATTGATTTTTCTAACTCTTTGAAAAACAGAGCTACAATGCTAAAGCAGAAAAAAGTTAGGCATTGTGTTTGCAAAGTGTAATTTAGCTTGTGTTATTTCTCCTGTATAGCTTTACTTCTCATACTGGGACATCTTTACCTCAATTTTTTACTTCTTAACAATTCCATAGACTTTAGATCCCTCTTTGGTTAAAAGTTTAAAATTCGAAGAATTGAGACCGTTGGTGGGGGGAAGTTTTGTGGGTTTGGGGTTCCTGTACAGTGAGTGTTGTTTTAAGAATTTTGCATTGGTGACTTCTTCGTAGCTGTTGACAAGCACATGGTGCAGCTGAAACTTTTTAAGGTAAAACACCTAAGAGACCGTGTAATCTTTCTCCTGAGAAAGAAGGAGATGCCTTCGCTGTTCTCTCTACCTCTGCCTGCAGCTTAACAAACACATCCCAGATGGATGATTTGTCCTAATAATGACTGTTCTTCCATTAGGATGTGCCATAAATTCAGTTTAGTAGAGATGGTTTATAACTAGTGCTTAAGAGCCAAGTGGTATTAATCAATGCAAGTACGAGTGGCTTCATTAGTTTCTTAACTCCTTTTATCAATTTCAGTGCCAGGTTGTGTGAAAGTGTATTTTCTTCAGATCTCAGTCCTCCTTGCCTTCAGGATGTCCCTATACATAGCATGAGATTCTGTGAATTATGAGCTACTTTGTCCTTTTAGAATACACTCCAAACAGAATATATTGACATAGTATTAGGTCTAAACCCCTAGCAATTTCAGGCAATTGATAAGGCTAAAAATCCTGTTGGTTGTGAAGTAAATGAATTTGCTCCTTTTGTTTATGATTTTAAAATATTTTTGAACTTGTCAGTTTGTACAGATCTGTGTAAAGCAAATATCTAGAAATTTTACGTGGCTTTTGATTTGTAATTCTTTGCTATTTAGAGGAAAACAAATTTGAAAGTGGCTAAAGATTATTAAAATTTCAAATGGAATGTAAGTTAAAGATCTCATAGCCCATTTTACGAGACTTAGTTTTGAAACATTCATAGCACATTCTTCTAAACTTGCTTTTCAGAGATGAAATAGGGAGAAATGAAGCAAAAACCAAAGACTGTTGTAATGGAATAGTTGTGCTACATGGAGTTTTGTTTGAAGTTCACCTATTGTTCTAATACATAATTTAATTTTACAGTTGGTAGTTCAAGGAAGGGGCTTTGCCTTTCTACTTCCTGTTTTTTAGATATTTCATATTCAGATGTGGTGCTTTCTACACTTTTCTCTCAAAGAACTATGATGCAGAATATTGTAAAAATAACAATTTCATTAAAGCTGGTACTAGTGTAGGTGCTGATTTGCAGTGATATATTGAAATTGCAGTGAATTGTGATTGTAATTTGTAGTATTGCAAATAGGATGGTTTTTGGAACTGTTAGGGATGGGATGGTTGTATCACAATTGTTTATCTTTTCCTCATGTTGAACTCCGTTAGTCGAAGTATCTACCTACTATTGTTTATCTCTTTTAATAATTTTTAAAGGGTACTTCTAGGTTGCATAGTTCAAAGATGCATTTATTTTTGCTGAGCTTTCACTTCACATAGGTATTCTTTGTGTGAAAGATTGTCAGAACAGAACTATTAATAGCTTTCTACAAACATTAGAGTATTTTTATTATTGCTTTTTTTTTAAAGGAGTTTTCCCTAACTTTCCCACGCCCTTATATAGTTTATATGTTACAAGACCTTGATATACTTGAAGACTGGACAACAATAAGGAAGGTAAGATGAGAGAATGAATGCCAGTGGCTGTAGGTTTTGTTCGGGTTCTTGTTTAGTCCTTTTGCCTCTTAAAGGTGTTTCTTACATGATCAAAACTCTAAACAGTTTTTTGTTTCTTCAGTAGTTAACTAATCGTTCCGGTTCAAGCTATGTTATTGCTACCTTTTCTGATTCTACCCAAATTATGCAGAGGAGTCCAATAAAGTAGTGGAAGAGGTTATCTCTAAAATGGGTAGTTTGTAAATTTCCATGATAAAATAAGCTTAAAGCCTGTGTCAGGAGGATCCACTTTCTCATAGTCTAGCATAGTTGGGTAGAAACTGTGATAGGGGAGTTTGATAGGATTTTGTTTTAAATTAAGATTTTAAAAATATATATCATATGGTATGTTTTCACAGGGTAAATAGTTTATATTATGAAGATTTCTGTGCTTTGACCTCTCCTTATACTTTTTTTTTTTAGTAAAGTGAAATTCTGTTTTTCCCAGATTATAAGAGAATCAGGGTTTACAGGAAGATAAATTTGTTTGACCAATTGTTATATTTGAAAAAATAAATCCAGCTTTTAAGTGCAGAGTGCCTTTTTCAGATCTTTGTTTATATTGTTAAAGTAACTTGCTGTAACGAAATGCTTTTCTTGTCTTGCACCTGCAGTCGTAAGATTTCCCCTAGTACCCTAGTGCTTCCCTTCTGATGGAATAGCAAACTACTTACATGAATTCAAATACTTGGTGGGAAATGGCTTTGAGTCGGTTCCCATCCTACTTTATACTTGTAAATATTTCCTAAACCAAAATTAAACTGTGATGCCTCTGTGAAAACTTGTCTGACTTTTCCTATCGCTTCAGAGGAACAGACACGAAATAGCTTTCCCTAAGTTTCTGTCCTGTAGTGTAACATGATTTTAAACAGTATCAACAAATACAGAATCTACTGGGGCTTTTGCCTTTTCTGGAAATAATTTAAACAAAAAGCAAACAAACAACCCCAAAAATCTCTTTGAGGTTTTTTTTAAACCTACTTTAATACTGTGTATAATCTAGAGTTTGCATGAGAGAGAATTTGTGAGTTTACAATGTATAAATCAAAAGAGTAGGTTGTTCAGATAGCATTTTGTTTTTCAGAATGAGTAAATGTCTTTTTATTTTCTTGACAGAATTACGTAACAGCACTTTTGAGGGTTTAGTTTAGAAAACCTCCCAAGTTATTTGAAACCAAAGCTTCCTAAAGAAAGTTATTTTTTTCCACCCTCAAAATGCTGTTTTATTTAGTTGCCGAGTCACTGTTGAACACACTTCTATTTTAGATTTGTTCTGATTGTGGATTTTGCATGTAAAAACAAGTATCCTGAGCTACAATGCAGATAACTTCACAATTAAAGCTGACAGTTTAGAAAAAAAGACTGCACTTGCTGACTAACTTCATTTTCTTTTGTGTTTCAAGGCGATGGCCACACTGGGGCCACACAGAGTAAAGCCAGAACGTAAGTAAACATTGTCTGGTTTCACAAGACAGAACTTGCTGTGTGCAATGATGCAAACTGCGTCTAGGTAGATTACATTTATTTTAGCCCTAGTATGGTGAAGGAGGATGGGGTGAGATCGCTGGAAGATGTGATGTCTTTCCCCTCTGTGTGTCTTTCCCCTCTCTCAGGTGCTGATACTTGTAGCTCAATTGCTGATGATTGTGTTAACACCTGAATTCTAGAAAATTATCAACAAAAATTTAGACCTCTAAAAGTGGGTTATAGCAATTAATATTAGCAGGCTGTGCCAGTGTTTACACAAGATGAGGCAGGAAACTAAGAGCATTCTAAGGGATGCACTGCAAACTACAACCCTGAAGAAGTACAGATGTATGAAAGGAGTGGTAACTGATATTTGGCACTGAGGTGAGAAGGTCATTACTGCTAGGTAAAATCAAATACTTGGAGGTGGCGAGTAAGGAGGACAAGGGAGAGAAGGCAAGCAAGTGGTGTATTTCTTTAGTGATGTATTACTACTTGCATGTTGTTGTAGCGTGCTGGTGAAGAGGTTTCAGGTTCTGCCATTTAAAGTCTTCTCTATATTGCATTACTTGATTTGTGAAAATTTGTATCACAGATATGAAGGTTATGGGGAAGATAGCTTCTGTTTGAAACTGGAAATATAACTTAATTTATCTGACTGCAAATAAAAAGGTGTATTGCTTCCAGTTTTCTTGCATTCTTGCAATTAGTAAGAGAGAAGCTACTTTTCATAATGGAAAAAATATAAATAGCTTGATAAAAGTGTATTTAAACATCCAAATGACTTCTGCCAAGTCAATATCGAATTACTTCTATCGGTCATTTTAGCACCTGTCAAATTAGAAAAGCATCTACATAATGCTAGATCTGAAGAAGGAAGACTCTATTATGATGGAGAGTGGTATGGACGTGGACAGACGATATGCATTGATAAAAAAGATGAATGCCCTACAAGGTAAAGATTACTCAGTTTATGCAACTCTGTACATTCGTGTTAAGCAACAGATAGGATGATGGCGTTGAAGAATAAGGCTTATTTGGAAATACTGCCGCCTTAGTAACAGTAGTTCACCTTGGAAGACAGGCATTATCAAAGAACGTTGATTTCTGGACTTCTGAGAGAGGCTAGCAAAGGCTGGATTTCACTGAAGGTAATGACATGTTTGTCAGGTTAGGATCTCACTAACAATTTATGCTCTTACTAGTTTCTGAATAGCCTTTGAGTAAGTTTTTTTTTTTAAGTATCTTGGGATTTTGTCCCTTTGAGAATTTGGTATGTTGGCCCACCCAGAAAACCACTTTATACCATTAAAGATAAACTTTGTTTTCAGTTGAGTAATGCTCTTTCTCTTAACAAAGGTTCTACCTGGGATCGGTCTGAATGTTATGGTGCAAATTTGTTTGAATGTTTAAGATATCTAAATGTATTTTCTCTGCATGGATAATATCTGTCAATTGTAAATGGTGGGTGTATTTAAAACAGTAGTTAAAATTAAATGTATATCTTGCCTTTTATTGAATGGGGCAGAGCAGTGTTGATTAAATATGCACAGGTACCCAAGAAAATTAACTTTAACTTCCTGTAGCAGTAGCTTACCATAAAACTGTCTGTTTCTTTTTTTTTCCCCGCATATGGTGAAGGGGAGCAGATTTTGGTGATTTTCATGTTTATTCAGGGCTGAAACAGGAAGGTAATTTAGTAAACTATACATTTTTCATGAAATTTTAAAAATTCTGAATTAGTTATGAAGAACATGGCAGTTATACTTGTCCAAAAAAATCTTAGCGTCCACTGTTTGACAAAAGCTGGAAGCTGATGCTTAACAGGGCAAGCATTTCCATTAACTGTCTTCATCTCTGGTTTTGAGCCTTTTTTTGTCATCAGTTCTACTTGATTTTTTTATTTTTTTTATGAGGGAACATTGGGGGATATTGTGTTCACTATTTGTATTAAGGTTTACCACAAGGAGCATAAAAGCAGGGTTCATGTAAAAATGATTCAGTAAATCAGGCTTTGACTTTATTTCTTAAGGTCTTGGTATAATGACTAACAGTTGAATGCTTTTTTCCTTTAAATTTTGGGCTTCCATCTGTTTAACTTTTTTCCAAGTACTTTGTATTCAAAGTAATTCCTGGGTGTGTTTTCTAACAGATCTGGTTTTTACCATGGGTAGTCCATTGTTCTGTTTTCTGTGAATGGCTGGTGTTCTTCCAAACAGTTAACTAGTTGTACATGTCAAGGGTTTTCTCATAGGAGAATAGATAGGTGGTTGAAAAATTAACTACCTTCACTGAAGACACATGAAGTTACCAAAGAATTCTGTTAAAACTACTCTTACAGTGGAGCCAGCATATTTTGGGCCTAGCATTTACAACTAATGCGTATTTTCATTTGCTGTATGGAAATACAGCTACAGTTTTGAGGTTATTTGTTAGCTTGTAAGTTTTATGAATTCTTCTTGTTTTTCTTCCCCTGACCCTTCTTTCTTCATTTTCTGTAGTGCCATAATTACAACAATTAACCATGATGAAGTTTGGTTTAAAAGACCAGATGGAAGCAAGTCCAAGCTGTATATTTCTCAGCTACAGAAAGGAAAATATTCAATAAAACATAACCACAACTGACCATTGCTAACCAGATATGAAACAAGTGGTATTGCCATGCTAGATGTGCCATGGGCTGAAAGTTGTATTTAATAGTGTTGTGTATTCCCTATCAATTTACAGCAGTATCTGATGTGTATTTGTAGTGCTGTATGTAAACTTCATATGGATGGCCTTCAGAAACCTGAGGATGTTAAATCATGTTGACAGACATTTTACCTCTAAATTGGGTCCAGTGCCTAAGATATGAAGTATGCTCTTCAGGTTGAATGGCTCAGAACTTCTCATATTTGTAAAATGGGGAAAGAAAAAAAAAAAAGAAAAAACAAAAAACAGAAAAGAGAAAAAAAAGGGGCTTTTTTTCCCACTGGTGACCAGTTGGTGTGATAAAATGATAACCATAATTACCAGCAACTCACTTCGTTTTCAGCAAACATGTCATGCTTCTCTTGTGGATGTAAATTTAGCCTGTTCACCTGTTGCTTTTGAATAGATTGTAACATGCATAAGTGTTCTTTTATAGAAAGTGGACCGTTTTATTAAAAGTACTGCCCTTGACAGCTCTGCTAGTACTGACTGTGTTATATTTTGTAAGGTTTACTATATCGCTTGTAATGAGACAAAGCCAGTATTTTGAGCTACATTTTTTGAGGAGTGCTTTTCTAGTTTACAACCCTTGTATATAGTAAACAAATTGTTAGTGATTTTTTTTTTCTTCTTCCCCAGATTACCAGCAAAATTTATGCATAAAGTAGCTCCAGCCTGTGTTACATGTAGCCCACAAAGAACAACTGCGGGGATGATTATGTAAATACTGTTGCATGCTCTGCTTGTTTGGTCAACAGTTGTATGAAATACTATGAATCCTTTTTTCAAATAGAAAATATTTACCCAGAAATTATATATCTGGCCAAATTTACACTTTTTCACCAAACACTGTTTTTCAAATTTCTGTACCCTACTTCATCTTATTTTACACCAGAATTATTTCACACAGCTTAGAAAGCTGAATTTCTCTTAAATCTTAGTGTTTAAGCCACAGAGAAGAGTCCTAAATCCTTGATGTTACTGTGATATGCTTGGAGCATCTAGAATGATAGATGGGATTGCTGAAGAATTACTATTGCGTTGGTTATGTGCACTTTAATCTCCACTTATGATGATGATTCTTGGAGAAGGAAAGCATCAATTTGCTTTAAATGATCACAGCAAACAAGTATTTTATTGTAACATATAAATGTTTTATTCATGTATTAATTATCTCTTCCAGGGTGGTAAATACTTTCCAAATGCCAAATCAGTTTCTGCTGAGTGATGCTTTTCTACAATTATATGACATTAGTAATCAAATGTACATAAAGCATCAATTGACATGTTGGCTTTTAACAATATGAACTGTATGTATACAGTTGTTTGATAAACTTTTTGTAATAAAATATTCGTATTTTTTAACTTGGTATATAAATAAATGATGTGTGGTAGCGGACATCTTGTATGTTGTTTTGCTCTTTGGTTTTCTAGTCTT